CCTTTCAGACAGTCAAGTTGTGTTATATCATGCACACCACATGGATTAGATTTCTACAAACTGCATAATCGTTGCCCTAATCAGAACCATGTGCATGCATGCGTGTGGAACAAATGTTTCCTCTTTCTCCTTTTGTCTCTTTTATTTGCTTCCATTATTCCAGTGCCTCATTGATGAATTGGATTCCAAATGTCTTTCCCTGAAAAGTTGCACTAAGAGGTATTGATTTAATATTCTGAAATTGGAAAATCTGTTGTTATATTGTTAAAAACTGTCAGAATTATGTATAAGTTGCATATGTAGCTTCAAACAAAATTCGTTTTTTCTCACTGAGTTACTCCCTTTATGTATTTTAGTTTTTCTAAGGCAACCATACGATTTATTTAAACTAAATACGGTTTCTTTTCCCATAATGGTTTAACTTATTGGCAAATTCAGGAGTCCGTGACAATTGAGTATAAGAGCATGTGTTAAATTGCATACAGATGTGTTGAAGTATGTGTGTGTGTGTGTGTGTGTGTGTGTGTGTGTGTGTGTGTGTAAGCAAAATGAAAAAAGATTAAAGCAGATGGATTCTTCTCATTCATATTTGGGCCTGGTTGGATATGTTCATAGTTAGGAACTGAGTTTAACTTGATCACCTTGATTGATAACTTGATCAGAAAGACACCACAAATCGCTCCTTCCTCAGTAGGTGCAGCAGCATCGGTGTAACTTTGTGCTGAACACTGGGGAGGTCAAGATCTCTGTCTAAATAAATAAATAAATCTGGGTAAATTCCCAGATGATTAAACATGCAACTATTTTGCTGGTAATACCTGAAATGAGTAAAGAAAATCAACAGCCTATTTATACAAGATAATTCATAATTTTGTTGGGGGGGTTATTTTGGTTGGGTCTGATTATTTGGGGGGTAATAACCCCCCTGGAAATTACGCCCCTGTGCAGCAGCAAAAATAAAAAAGAATGAATGAGCATTATGACTATCAGTAATGGTGTTAGCTAACTAGCTATTGTTAAGGTTCAAAATATTGGGGATGGAGACAAGAGAAAAAACCACAATAACAACACTGGTCCGACCGGATTAAGTCAAACGATGATTTTAATGAACACACGCGTGGGAGATGGACACTGTATGCAGACAGCCTCAGATCTCAAAATGGTGGAGCATTGCTCAAACTCTTATAGCCTCTGGTTCTCCCACCTTATCATAAAAGCCTAAACATTCACATGCTTTTCTCTCACACGGCGCCTAAGCTACGACCTTGGCTCCCTGTTTATCTGCTCCTGCTGAGATGGGGCAGAAAACTCCAGTTTCTGTTCTCTTCTAATCAGACAAATAAGGCGATGACTTTCTGCAAACAGTATTTCTTATAACATCATAAAACAATATCATTCATCCACAATAAATCAGCAGTCTAATGTAATGCAAATCAGTTTAACTAATGCAATAGTTATCAGCTTCTTCTAATTCAGGAGAATAATGCAAACTAAAACTACATAATAATTCACAATCTTTAATTAGGGGTATAACATGGCATAAAATAATATTATAATCTAACACTATCCAGCATAAATACATTGATTAGCGTGCTGCTGTGACATTAGCTTTAGCTCAGATATTTGATAGACAGTTCAGGTTCCAGCAGTGTCTTCTAGGGTTGCCAACTTTTTAACTATCAATTAAGGGACAATCTGAAGGGCCAGAAGCACAATGCACAGTCAACTGAGCATAGTGTATGCACTGCATGTTCATATTCTTATAACAAAAATGTCAATACCTCATCTAAAACAATAAAGAAAGATACAGTAAATTATAACATAAATTACATGGGGTTTTCCTTTGAAAAATAACCAAAAAACAAAAGATATTGTTTTTTTAAACATAAAATATTGTAAATACAGGCTTCAGTTACCCAGTTTAATATGCTACGCAGATCAAATGGCACCTTATTTTGATGAATTACGCATTACTCTTCATATCTGTGTGCCTGGACACAAAAACTAATCTGATACAATTCCTGTCAAATCAGATTTTCAGTTTCCACTCCCTCCACATTCTTTTTTCAAGTTCTCAGACTCCGATGACACCATGTTGGTTTTTGCACTAATGTCCTGTGACTGAACAAAATAAAATCACTGTTAGACATACATCACTTACCTACTTTCATTAAGACTAATAATACAATATAGCATTCAAGGTTTACATTTAAATCAGTAGTCATTGAGTCAAAGGAGCTTGCAAAGAAAAGCGTCTGGACTTCTTTAAGTTGCTTGAAGACGTTTCACCTCTCATCCGAGAAGCTTCTTCAGTTCTAAGGTCAAATGGTGGAGAGTCCCAGATATAAACCTAGTGGGAGCCCCCCACAGAGGGACAAAAGGACCCCCTGATGATT